TAAATTAATTAATTAATAATAACAATAAACAGGCCTAAATTAATACTATTCTATTATCAACAAAATTTCCATAGTTACCATAATGGAAAGAAAAAAGATCTTTGGTTTCAGAAATAATGAATACTATATATCTTTAATTCATAAACATAGCAATTAGATTAGTAAAAAATGGAAACAAATTAATAATTTGTACTATAGATAGTGTGAATCCCTAACTATATAAGATTATACAGATACTAAAAGTTAGGTGATTTATTCTAAAATATTTCTATGTGTTTTCTCTTCTCACTAAAAATATTATTAGGTTATTTTTTTTATTAAATCATAGCTGTGTACATTAATACTATCATAGGGTACAGTGTGCTGTTTCCATACACAATTTGAAATACCTTCATCCAACCAGTCAAAATAGCCTTCGTGTCATTTTCTTAGTTATTGTGTTAAGACATTTATATTCTACATTTAGAGAGATTCACATGTACCCTTATAGGATGAATCATAGGTGTGATCCCACCAATCACTCTTCTTCCACCCATCCTCCCACCTCCCCTTTCCCCATATTCTTGGGCTAAAATTGGGTTATAGCTTTCCTATGAAAGCTATAAATTAGTTTCATATTAGAGCTGAGTACATTGGTTACTTTTTCTTCCATTCTTGAGATATTTCGCTAAGAAGAATATTTTCCAGTTCCATCCATGTAAACATGAAGGAAGCAAAGTCTCCAGAACACTTGGAGAACTAAAAATAGACCTGCCATTTGATCCTATAATTCCTCTACTAGGTATATATCCAGAAGACCAAAAATCAACACTACAATAAAGATATTTGTACCAGAATGTTCATTGCAGCCCAATTCATAATTGCTAAATCATGGAAGAAGCCCAAGTGCCCATTGACCCACGAATGGATCAATAAATTGTGGTATATATATACCATGGAATACTATGCAGCCTAAAAATATTTTTAAGTATCTTCAGCCATAATATACCATTATACATTTTATTTAATAGCAAAAAATTAACCTATCATGAAGTTATTCAATGTAATGTAAATTAAATCTGGCATTATGTTTACTCAGTTTTAAACATGTGCATATACATGTATGCAAGTATTCACATACTAATGTTCTCCTTAGTGAGAGAGCCCACTAATGGCACTGTGTAGAGCTGAGTTGTCATGAACTAGAATATTGGGCACATCACATGAGCTTACAATTACAAGCACAAAATTCTGCAAATGAAAACATGAATGCATGTAAAACATCAGAGAAATTGGGTCAATAACATACTCTTTAACTGTAATGTCTTGAGATTTGCATTTTGAAACGGGAGAGAAATGCAGAGATTCTGTATGAGAAAGAATAATCCCATTATAACTTCACTACATTGTAGCAATTGAGATGAACTCTGCACCATATTATATAAAGGACACATGTTGACTTCATTTCAACTAAGCCCCAGTGTCATGAGATTACAATTGCTGGTTAATACATTAAAAACTAAATAAGTTTGTTCAACCTAGTATTACCACTAATATTACTTGAAATCTTCTTTTCAAATGCTTGGTGGGAATTCAGATGGTTGCATAGCCACTATACACAAATGATGCCTGACTTCTATACTCAGTGACACAGAGTAATAATAGTGCAAAATATTTTTGTGACATGAACGCAGTCTGTGAATTGTCAATGGCTCCTGATTTCCTATCATCACGGTGGTGTGTAAATGTGCACTCAGAGCTGTTAGCACCACTCCACCCTCGTGCAGGGCGCTGATCACCTGCTGTAGGAATGTTGCCATTGCCAGTGCATTCTTAAGAGACTTAAGACGACCGTTGCGTTACATGAAAATGATATAAGATCACAGAGTTCTATCTGAGAGTACTATGCAATTAGTGCTTATTTCAAAATTATAGAGATACATGATAAGAATATTTTATTTCTAGTTACTAAAAATAATTGAGGAAACTAATGTTACATTTAAATAGTAACAATGACTTCACCTCTAGCCCTTCTCCTTGATTTAAACACACTCTCTGGGAGGCTGAGACGGTAGATCGCTTGAGCTCATGAGTTACAGATCAGCCTGAGTAAGAACAAGATCCGTCTTTAAAAAATATCTAGGTGTTGCAGCAGGCGCCCGTAGTCCCAGCAACTTGCGAAGCTGAGGCAAGAGGATCACTTGAGCCCAAGAGTTTGAGGTTGCTGCAAGCTACGACACTATGACACTCTACCAGGAGCAAGAAAGCCAGACTCTGTTTTGAAAAAATAAATAAACACACACACATGCACAAGACGTTTGGTGCTGCAGACTTTAAAAAGAGCTTGAAGAGAAGGAGAAATTATACTTTTAAGTACTAAAAAATGTGAAATTAAATGTTAGAGTCTTATTTCTAAGAGCCCTGGATGTGCCCCCATCATGCGACTCGGCCCTCCCTCCTGCTATCTATTCCCTCTCTTTCCTCATCTGCTTTTCTCTGTGCCCACACTGTCAGAGGAAGAAGAAAAAATTCTTCTATCTTCTTACATAGAATAATTCAATTATTGCCGGTCCCTGGACCCAATTCAGCAAAGCAATATCCTTTCTATATCTGAAGTCACATTAACAAGCTGTGCTCACTCGCTCACTTCTTATGATTATTTTTAGGAATAAAGGAAATATATAGTGATTGTAGGCCCCCACTGATATGACTGACAACCCCCCCTTAGAAAGCAGAAGTTGGCCGGTTTACTTTTACTAATCAATGTTTGTATTATAAACAGATCAAATGTTTAACTAAACAACTTAAAATCTAATCATTTGTAGTTCAGGGTTTTGTTCACGTAAGCATACATTGGTTTGAAATGTAAGTTAATAATTATATCACTTAATAAATTTAAACAAATATGAAAAATAAATTTTAATATCTATAATCTGAGAAATGTTTTTAAAAAATGAGATTAAAGCAACCAATTTTTCTATATTAATCTTTAAAAACAACTTAGTCTTTTTCCTATAAGTGAGATGTGAAATTGAAATAATGGTACCATGAGGAAGGACATCTATGGACACGTCAAAATTTAAGCTATGTATAACATCTTTATAGTCTACAATGAGTTTATTAATTTGATTGTATAAAAGTAGATCATTGTATAACAAGCCCTACAAGCCTGAACCCTGATAAAATTAAAAAATCATTAGCCAAAGAAATATGCGAATGAACACTTATCCCTGTTGATTCTTAGCTTCTGTCGGTAAATGCTTTGTGCTTTTTTAGCCAAGACATGTTCACAGGCTTCATTTTGTTTTATGACAGAAATAAAAATAACCCCTCTAGTAGAATTTCACTTCCTCTGATTTCTAAGATTCTGAGAACTAAATCAATCACTTTGGAAATAAGGCATCTTAGGATGGGGGTACTAAAGGCATCCAATTGTGAACGAGCCACCTTTCTACAAAGGCATAGAAGGAATAAATTGTTTTCTTTAGAATATCCATATTTATCATATGAAGGATATGTTGAAATGGAAACAGGACATCAACATATCAAACATTTGATATTCTACAAAGATCTATTTACATATAAAAATTACTCCTTGCAAAAGTGGCTAAATCTTATTTTTAAAAATTACAAATAAGCATTACACACACCAGAAGACAATAAATTATCTTGGGATTTAGGAAATCATAGGATAATTGTCAAAAATAGCTCTGCAAGAGTTTTAAAAACTGCCTAAAATGGAGATTATTTATGCCAATCTAGAAATATTAACATTTTTCAAAGAATTTTAAAAATGCCAAATCAGTTGAGTGCATCAGATTATAATTTGCACTGTTTTAAAAACGAACTAGCAGTTCATAAAGTTATTCATATATAATAAGTAATTTACAATAACATGAATTAAATTTTTCATCTTTCCTTGCAGTAGTGTCTCCATTTGAAGTTTGAGTTTTATACTTTATTTTGTGACTCAAAAGTAAAATACATTCCCATTCTTTATTATTTACTGAATTTGGTAACTAAGAAAATAAATTTAGCAACTTATTCTGTTATAGGAAAATACCTGTAATTTTATTAAAATTTTTAAAATAGTGCCATGTGCTAATTATCCTTATTTTCATTTACATCTGAAAACACTGAATCTCAGAAAGTTTAAGCACTTTTCCCACATTCATTTAACAAGGAAAGGTGGGAAGTCAGGTGACTAATTCCAGTCTAATTCTAGTATTCGTGTTCTTGGTCACACCTCTGGAATTCCTCACATAAGATTTTGAGAACTAGAAGCTTTAAATAGCTGTTCAAAAGGTAACACTCTTTAAATATATATGTGTAACAGCCAGCAGTTCAAGCATCCAGCAAATTTGTCACCAAAAAATATATATGAATTGAAAAATTAGATTTGTCAGATATTCTAGATTCGATAGTATATAGTTCTGAACTGGAGAATTTTATGAAATTGAATTTTGTCATATCTTGCAATCCAAGAAACCATCCCACTTCCAAGAAGAGTTCTTTTGTGAGCATATAAGAACTTATCTAAGAAGAAAGTAGTGATCCGATTATTATCTTGGTATGTTACATTTTAACTATAATTTGCATTACTAATTATGAGGTAAAAAAAAAAATCTTAGAATATTTCATTTTCATTACAATGCAACATTGAAACAAAAATTGTCTCACTTACCTCACCTATAAAAAGGTTATAGTTTGCATCAAGTTCTTAGAAAGACTCAGCCCAGTGCTAGGTATGTAACAGGTGAGCAAATGTTTTCTGTTTTAGGACAATACTAAATACGACGGCCATGAGACAGATGCAGAAGAGCATAGGAAACCCTGACAGGTTATAAACTTAGGAAAGAGAATAAAATATATTTTGACAGAGGAATAACCTGCTTAATTTTGTGTATGACAATCACCTGGTGCTCTGTAGCAGCAGCCCCCAACCTTTTTGGTGAGAGGACCAGTTTCATGGAAGACAATTTTTCCACAGAAGCGGGTGGGGTGAGGGTGGTGGTCTGGGGATGGTTCAAGCACATTACATCTCCAACTCAGATTGTCAGGCATTAGATGGCATAGGAAGCCCAGAACCTAGATCCCTCACCGTTTACCTGAATGCTGCCTTCCACCTCCATGAATGCAGTCCTCCCGTCGATGCAGTCCTCTTTGACTCTTCCATCCCTCAGTAATCATCTCTCTCACCCACTGAGCCTATGAATCCACCCCTCACAAATTAGCAACAGAATGAAGTCTTTAAGGGCAGAGTCATATATAGTATTTGTATACTCCCAGCCCCCAGTGTCAAGCACTTAGTACATGTAGATATTCAACAAAAGGGCTTACTTGCCAAAGTCCAGGGTGCGGGTGCTGAGTAAGAATGAGACCACGGGCTCTGGATTAGATCTCAGCTCTGCCCATTAGAACTCTGAAACATGGGGCAGCACCTGTGGCTCAAAGGAGTAAGGTCCTCAAAGCTCCCATATGTCGGAGGTGGCAGGTTCAAACCCAGCCCTGGACAAAAACTGCAAAAAAAAAAAAAAAAAAGAACTCTGAAACATGTATCTTCTTAGTATACTCTCGGGGCACTGCTCACTTCATGTGTGAAATAGAGGTAATAGCAATGTTTAGATGGTGGTCGTAAGAGATTGCATTAACAGTGTAAATGCAGCTAGAACAGTTCCTAGCACAACAGTCCCCAGCCTTTTTGGCACCAGAAACTGGTTTCATGGAAGACAATTTTTCCACAGACCAGGGGTGGGGGTGGGGGGTGGGGGGTGGAGGGGGAGGGATGGTTTTACTCACTTGCCACTATGAAGCCAGCCACCAGATGCTGCTTAATTGTCACTTGCCACTTACTGATAGGGTTTGGATATGAGCCTGCAAGCAATTGATTTATTTTGGTCTCTGTGCAGTCAAACCTCTCTGCCAATGACAACCTGCATTTGCAGCTGCTCCAAGGTACCAGCATCACTGCCTCAGCTCCACCTCAGATCACCAGGCATTAGATCCTCCTAAGGACTGTGATCCTTCTCATGCAGTTTACAGTAAGGTTCATACTCCATACAGTAGGTTCATCTAAAGCTGCTGCTGATCTGACAGGAGGCAGAAGTCAGGCAGGGGGAAGTGGCTGGAAATACAGACAAAGCTCCACTCCCTCACTGGCTGCTCACCCACTGCTGTGTGGCTGGCTTCCTACCTGGCCACAGGCTGATACTGGTATGCGGCCTGGCCAGGGATTTGGGGACCACAGTCCTAGCATATAATAAGAGATTAAATGATACTAAGTCCTATTATCATTATATTTATTACTATATCTAGAAGAAAGTACCTATTTAAGACTAAGCAAAGCATGGATAGAAAGGAACCGTAAGTGAATGAAGTAAACAGAAGGAATTCGTCAAGTGTTTTGTTCTCAGACTATACCAATTTTCTTCCTGTCATGATCAGAAAAGGGATTCTTTGGGGAGGAACCATCCAAAATTCTGAACATTGCTTTTTCCAAAAGTAATTCTGCCCTTCTCAAAAGTTATTAGCCAAAATTCCATATCCCTTCGTATGGCTTATTTATACCAGAATCCCTCGTCTTCCTTTAAGAACTTTCCTTCTCTGTGATATCTTCCTCTTTTCTCCTCAGGCAAATCTTTTTTTGCCTTTTTTTTTTAGTCTTTTTATAATTTTAGTCTTTTTTAGTCTTTTTTTAGTCTTAGTCTTTTTTTTTTATGAGATGTTTTGAAATTACATTTATACTTTATGTTGTTTGTTTGTTTTTTATTGTTTGGGATTCATTGAGGGTACAAAGAATTAGGTTACACTGATTGCGGTTATTAGGTAAAGTTCCTGTTATAACTGTGTCCGGCCCCCAAAGGTGGGCCCTGCCGTGACCACCAGCCCCTCCTCCTCATCCCCAATCCCTCATTCCCCTAACCCACCCCTGGTGCTTATGTCATCTTTCCCCAAGGCTGAAAGTTTAAGAGGTGAATCATTACTTCACAGTTTAGCAGATTGTTGACTGAAATGTCCATTCTCCTGATTACACTTACATATTTAAATCCCTATTTCTCACATACTTTTTAAAAATTTTAAAAAAGAGCTTTGTAGTCTCCCCCCACCCCCAGGTCGTTTACTTGCTGCTTCTGGCCCAACAAAAATTCTGTCTTCAGACATATACAGTGTGATATTTTGCAACTTCATAGATAGGATTATGAAAAGGTGATGAGAAAAAGGAAGTTGTGAGAAAAAAAAAAAAACTCATTCCTTTCTAAAACTTTCCTTTCAGAAAGTTTCAGAGAAATAAAACCACTTAGGCTAAAGGAAGGAAGTCAGATGCATGAAAGCAGTGAAGTTAAACATTGTATGAAGACTTGAGCTTAAATTTCTGCAGAAAGCAACCAAGTAATACATGAGAAAGAATTTTATAAAGGTATAAATTTATATACACCAATCTGAAAGAGAAAGAGAAAGCAATTCCTCTTTTTTAGAATAAAGGGAATAATTATTTATCTGAACAGATACTTTGAATTTCTAGCTAAAAGACTGGAAATGAGTAATATGGCTTATCCTATAAGTCCTGAAATTTGCTTAAAATAAACATATATTAAACACATTTAGATGTTTAAAAACTATCATCTGTAATTTTATTCCCATTGCTTTTCTTCAGAGAGTGATGATTCTAATCAATTCTTTAACCTTCTAATTACTGGAAGGTGGGCACCTTAATTCCTCATCACGGGATAAGTCCAGTGAGAGAGCCGCGACAGTGGTTGGGATGCAGGTAACGGAGATGCTGGGGGAAATGCTACTCAAACCAAGTAAGTACATTACAAGAGAAGTCAGTCAGGCGGATAGAATAGGAAAATATCCACCTGCTTGTTTGATATTTGGATTAACTAATAACTAATTAAAATATTGCTTCCTTTCACTATAATGCAAACTTTTTGACAACAGGGATACTCTCATTTTACCTGTTCTAAACTCATCCTCTAGAGCAGTCCTTAGAACCTGTGTTATAACCCAAGGGAATCTCAGTATACGGCAGCCACATCCAACCTGAATCTGGAAAAGAAAGTGTAAAAGTCTCAGGGCAGTAAAACAGAAAAGCCACATTCTTGAGGAGTAGCATTTTACTCAATAGACAACTTTTGAACATGCCAGCTAAGACAAGAGTGACACCGTTAATCATGTATCGGTAATGAGTATCTGTCATGCACCAGGCATAGCACTCTGTACGGAGATGCACCTGAGTGCAAGCAGAAGGGCTGGGCTTCAGTGCAAGCACAGTCTGTTCTTCCATATTCACAAGAGAGATGCAGAGTTTACGGGTCAGATGCACATAGATTAGGTGGTGTAGAGATTAGGTTAGTAGATTGCGTGGTGTAGAGATTAGGAAATTCTCTTCGGTTTTCCTCTATTTTTTCACTGAATAGGAAGCGAAATCATTAGGTTGAAAGGACATGAGGGAAGAAAGTACTGGAGGCTTGAGGAGAGAATGAGATAGCTATTTCCCTGGGAGAGTAAAAGATGGGGAAATGAAGTCTAACTGCAGGGAGTGCCCAGGGCTCATGGAACCATGAGTCAATGAGAAATCACTCCGGATGGCTGAATACTTTTCTCCAGTCACTTCAGCCATCAGCGACAGACACAGAAGGCGAGAGAGTCAGATTTAACTAGAATTTGGATTTTGCCAGACAAGTACCACAGATGGAGAAAAGGGTGAACAGTCCATGTGTAACAGAAGTGTTCCTTACATGAAAAGGAATAGTACTAACATAATGTGGAGAGTCATTCAACAATTTTATTAAAATCAACTTATTTATAATTTCATGTATGTTTATTTATCGGTTTTGTTAAGGGAGAGGTTCTCTAATGACAATGAATTTATTTGGAAATAACAGGGGATTCTAATCTGGGGCGTGTGTACCATGGCAGACCAAGGGCAAATCCGAGAAGGTTGAAACAATAAGTTTTTAAAGGCAAAAGGAAGAGTATGTGTAAGTTGTTTTGAAACAAAGAGAACAGTGATTCTAGGGGTTTAGCACAGGAATTGATAGCCGTTCATTAGTGGAGACAGTGTATCAGGCAAGTGTATTTATACCAGTAGCTAGCTGTCCTTGTGCAGCTAGCTGTCCTTGAGCGACTCATGTAGCAAGCTGCAGTTGGGAGAAATTCCTTATGATAGTTTCTGTTACCAGATAAACTGTGCATGAGAGCCCTCCCTTCAAACCTTTCCACAGCTCTGTGTTGTCAGGGTTTGACACAAGTGACTCCATTTTGAATTCACAGCTTCTATTAATTCACATCAATAGATACATGACAGATTATACAGGTAGATGATGGAAAGATTATATGTGTATAAGGAAAGGATAGGCAGACTTGGCACATCCCAGAATGTAGGGGAACTAACGTCTGTAATCTCCTACAAAGAAAAAGCCTTTTAAGGAGGAAGACAAGTACAGGAAATAAAGTACTCTGCTTTTATATCAAACAGGAACTTTGAAACAAAGAAAAGAGCAGGGCTGAACTGAATAATAGGAGTTTCTGTTTTGTGGAGAAATTAAGCAACAGGATTAAGCCCTGTGTGATATGTCAAAGTGATCTTTTATCTAACTCAGCTTAGCAGGCAATTGAGGCCAATAATGAACTTGATAATTTACAAAAAAATCTTGAACATGATAATTTAGTATAAAATCTTGAACACACCAATGATATTTCTACAAAGAGTGAAATAGTTGTTTGTGATAATCTTGTGTAGCTCTTAACACCAGGATGACATTAGTTTTCCCTGGGATTGCATGCTTAACATTTATATTATTCGGAAACATTTATTCCGTTAACCCAGAAAATAAAGGTTATTGAACTAAATGATTTCTAAGCCCACGTTTAGTTCTAACATTCTGTGAAATGAAGGATTTTCTGGGGAAAAACAACAGCAACAACAACACAGGAAATTAACCTCTGCCCCCTAATTTCCAACCTAAAAATGACAAACCAAATATAACCCAGCTTAAGTTTATTGCCACATCCTTAATTGCTGTCTGTTCCACTTGGATATATGTCTTGATGGAGAAAGGGCAACCCCCCAGCTGCCCCCATAAACTTGTTTAAAGTGATTATCCCTGAATGAAGTGGGCATCCGGAGGCAATCACATGGGTAGTGGCTCTCTGAAAGATGGGGCTGCTTGAATAAAG